TCGACGTATACGGTATTTACTCCCATGTTCACGTCGCCATATTAACTTCTTCCAATCATTCGATTCCAAAACAAATCATCCCAAAACAAAGAATTCATAGTCGACGTTCAAAAGAATAATCGTTAAAATTGTAAATCGTTGAATGAAAAGGGAAAAACCGTCAGCTAAAACAGCTTCTGGCGAACTTTTTCCTTTGTTTTGAATGTAAATGCAATGAGCTTTGTTTCTGCCCGCGATTTTTTGGTCAGCGACGACAAATTTCCCACCTGTTATCCGTCGGATAACCTTAATTTTAACCGGAGAAAACCGGATTTTCCTGAAATTTCTTATCTTTACGTCAGCTGTTGCTAGGTATTTGTAAACTTTTGTTGTAGCATCTTCGTATAACTTGTGAATTCCACTAACCTTTGAACTATCAACTTGCAATATAAAAGGTTTTTTGTTCATATTTATATTTTGGAGTTTTTCTCGTCCAATCGTTGCAATACTTCGTTTTCCCTCAGTGAAGAGTTTGCTATCTACTTATCGATATTTCTTTAAAAGATTTTTGGCTTCTTTATGCGAAGGCAATAGCAAAGACTGCGAGTTTTGTTTTCTTGTGTTTCAGTACGTTGATTCAGTTTTATTTTATATACTGTCCGAATATTTGTTCTTTGACCTTTCACGTCATTCAAAACAATTTTAAGAACATTTTCTCGCAAGATTTGATTGGCTGATCAAGGCCAGTGAACAAAATTTTTCGACTTTCGGTGCCTTGTTGTCTGAAGGGAACTCATTTAATGAAAGTTTTATCGCTTGTTTTCGAGCTATATAACAGAAAAAAAAGGACAAAAGCCAGAAACGTAACGTCTAAGCACTGACACATGTCTGTATAAAATATGGCAAAGTCATGGCATTATTTAATGGGCAAGTGACTGAAAGTGTGCTCGGTACGTCAAGAGCAAGACGGAAGTCATAAGTAAGTTTCCATGTTTATTTAGTGTCAAAAAAGGGACATCTAAACGGTATTTGTCCATTTCTATCACAATAGCAATCCTTTTTAACTGATATACACATTGTTTTGTCTTCAAACTTTGAGTTTATCCGCCGGATAGTGGATTTAAACTACCTCCGGACCTCGGATAAATTTATCCAACGGATAGTGCATTTTATCCGTTGGATAGCGCTATCCAAGCTTCGTACAACGCGATTTTCACTCCGGATAAAATTTATCCGCTGGATAGGGACTTATCCACCGGATAGCGATTTATCCACCTTTCGTACAACCGGCCCCAGTAGTTTAAGCGAAATATTACATAAATATAGTTATTTACAAATATGAGGTATAGTAACAAGTACAAATTAGCTAGATAGTAGGAATGGTAGAATAATTATTTACAAGTAGTAGAACAAGTGTCTTAGAAAATATGAGCAGCAATTTTCTTTTGAAAGCTTGACAGGGATTGACTTTCCCTGATTTCATTTGGGATAGAGTTCCATAGTTTAGCACCATCATACATGAAACTATTTTTCATGCTATTGGTGTGTGGTTGTGGTAGACAAAGACCAGATGAAATATTTCGAAGATTATAATCTGTTATCTCATTTTTATAACGAAAGAGGCTTGTGAGAGATTCAGGGCCTGTTTTATTTAGAGTTTTGTACATCATTTATGCTTTTGCCTTTTTCCTCATAATATCAAGTGGCTCCCAGCCCAAGGCACACAAAGCAATAGAGTGATCTACATCATTGCTCATATTTGAAATTATTCGGGCAGCTCTGTTTTGGAGCTTTTGTAGTCGTTTTGATTGTATTTCACCCAATACATCCCAAACTTCTGAACAATAGTCGAAGTAGGGACGTACGATGGCATTGTATATGGAGGTGAGCGTATCTCTTTCGGCAATAAATGGTTTGACACGACGTAGAGCTGAGATTCCTGATGTTATTTTTTTGCAAATATTTTCAGTATTGGGTTTCCAAGATAAATGCTGATCAATAATTATTCCTAGAGTTTTGGCTTTGTTTACTTGTTGGATTTGTTTGTTTTCAATTAGGATATTTGGTTGAGCATTAGAGGCATTCCTTATCATTTGTGGAGACCCAATCAACATAAATTCAGTTTTAGCTACATTCAAGCTAAGTTGATTGGCTATTAACCAGTTTTTGAGGTTTTCCAGATCAGAATTTGCTGCAGTCTCAATATCAGCTATGGTGTGACTAGTGGCTGTGATGTTTGTGTCATCAGCGAATAACCAAGGTCTTGTATTTTTTAGACACTCGGGTAAGTCGTTGATATACAACAAGAACAGTAATGGCCCCAAAATAGAACCTTGTGGTACACAACATTTAATCAAATGTTCTGATGAAATAAAATTGTCTATTTGACACTTTTGGTGTCGGTTTGAAAGATATGATTTTAATAAGTCATGGGCTTGACCTGTTATTCCATAAAATTCCAACTTTTCAAGTAAAATGTCATGGTTGACAGTATCATTAGGTCTTTAAAAACTACGAGGTTAAACATTTTCTTATCTATATTCACATACCACTCGTTTGTACAATCTAAAAGAGCTGTTGCTGTAGAATGAGATTTTCGGAAACCAAATTGATTATTACTGAGTAGTCTAAATTCAGTTAAATAATCCTAAAGTTGATTGTATAAAATTCGCTCCATTATTTTGCTTATAGTTGGTAGAATTGAAATGGGTCTATAATTGCCAGGAATATTTTGATGGCCATTTTTGTAGAGAGGTATTAATCTTGCCATTTTCCAGTCATCAGGAAAGGAGGATAAAGTAATAGCTTGATTAAAAATATATGTAAGTGAATCTGCAATGGCAGGTGCAGCTATTTAATAATTTTACACAATATTTTGTCAATGCCAGTTGCTTTGTTGCTAGATAATGCACTGAGCAACTGGTAGACATTATTAACATTTGTAGGTTGGAATGCAGCAAATTCTGATTTAGCCTTTTTGATATACGACTCAAAATTGCAATTTGTTGTGTGAATTTGGCTCGCTAGATCTGGGCTAATGTTTGAAAAATAGCTGTTAAAGCCCTCTGCAATATCTTTTGGATTGTTTAGAACATTCTCTCCTAATTTGAGTTCATTTACTTTTGAATGTTTGTTTTGTTTGCCAAGCAAATTATTAATTGACTTCCATGCTTTCTTTGGGTTACATTTTTGATCAGCAAGTTTTGAAGAATAATAATTCTTTTTGGCATTTCTTAGTTCAATGTTGACTTGATTTCTAACTTTTTTGTAGTTTGACCAATCAGTCTCTAACTTTGTGATAATTGCTTTTCTTTTCAGTTTGTCTCTTGTATTTATGAGACCCTTAATGTTGTTCGTTATCCAAGCCACTTTACTAGACTTAGTTTTTTTGCGTTGTAATGGAGCATGTTTGTTCAGAACTTATGGAAAAAGTTCTTTCCCACATGGTCAATAAGGCTAGATGACCTCATAGTAACTCGAGTTGGTTCATTTATCAACTGGGATAGTTGGTATAATTCGTATATTGAATATAGTTTATTTGTTGGCATACTGAAAAGCATGGGCAGATACTGAAAAGCATGGGCAGATACTGTAGGCCAGTTAACCCACGAGTAAGAGTAAAATCGTCTGGCGTTAGACAGAGTAAAATAATAAAGTAGGGCCATCGGGGTGCAATGTGACTCAATGGGTTAAATAGACGCATGGGCAGATAGGCCAGTTAACCCATTAAGTGCCAACGCTCTCCCCTTGACGAGTAAAATCGTCTGGAGTAAAATAATAAAGTAGGGCGCAATGTCATTCAATGGGTGAATGGATAATTTACAAGAAATTTACTACCCTAAAAGATAATGCATTAAAAAGCACACAACTGGAAACCTAAGATCATATCTCACCCTGTTGCTTTGCACATTTTCCCCATGACATATAGCAACCAAGCTTTTAGACTGTGTGGTCATTTGTAAGTTAATTGTTTACTACATATGATAATTAGGTGTTATTGTAATTAATATATAATGCATGGTTGAACATGTAGTTTTTAGTTCTTAAATAATAATATATCGAGGACTTTACATGGTGTCAGGTGTTTGGGGAAGCGAAATAATCGGAAAAGAGAAAAACCCGGCCGATAACATATTTTCGAATGGCGACAGCACAGATCCCTTTGCCTGAAAAGTTAGATTCAAAAAAGCCAGAAGATTGGAAGCGATGGATAGAACGCTTTGAATGCTATCGCATTGCAGCGGGACTTGACGACAAAGTCCAGATAAACACTTTGGTTTATGCAATGGGTGGAAATGCCAACGATATCTTGAAAAGCTTTCATCTCAGCGAAAAAGACTATGTCTACGAGACAGTTATTCAACAATTCGCATCGCATTTTGTGGGACGGTCGAATGTTATATTCGAACGAGCTCGCTTTAATAAACGTGTACAAGGCGAGAAAGAGTCGGTGATCGATTTTATCGAAGTGCTATACGAATTAGCAGAGACATGCCAGTTTGGAGATCTAAAGAATGAACTTATACGAGATCGTATTGTGGTTGGTATTCGAAATGCAAGTCTATCGCAAAAGCTGATGCAAGACGAGAAATTGACTTTGGATAAAGCTGTAAAAGAAGCCAAAAGTTCAGAGTTAGTCAAGCATCACCACAATATCCTTCAGGGAGATGGCGAAGATGGAAAAATTAATCGCCTCCGCAAGACTAAGGGACGAAATAAACCAAAATCGCCAGAGAACTCGAAAGGAGAGCAAATTTTGAAACCGTATCAAGCCGGTAAAAGTCAATGTTATCGATGTGGGAAATCGCCAGTGCACAAAAGAGATGCTTGCCCTGCTATTAATGCGACATGTTTAAAATGCAAAAAGCAAGGACACTTTGCTGCGGTTTGTAGAAGCAAGAAAGTTCGCTCAGTTACCGAAGAAACCGACCCGAAGTGCTCATATTCCGAAGATTACTTCCTTGGTGAGATTAGCGACCATGAAAGTAAAGAAGATTGGTCGGTAAACTTATCGCTAGGAAGGACAAAAGTACGATTCAAGATTGACACTGGGGCCGACGTAACGGTAATACCTGAAGCTGATTATTTGCGAAGTGGACTTCCACAACTTAGGTCAACATCCAAAACTTTGTTTGGACCTGGTCAAGAGAAACTACCCGTTAAAGGAGTCGTCAAAGGCGTTTTGAAAACTTCAAGTTTGAAAGAAACACTGCAAGATATTTATGTTATTGGGAATCTTAAAGAGCCTTTGCTTGGAAGACCTGCTATTGATGCCCTAAACCTCGTGCAGAAAGTAAAAACTATTCAAGCTGACGAGAGCAGCGTGATCGAAGACGAAGTTAAATCCACTTATCCAAATTTGTTCAAAGGCCTAGGAGAGTTGGATGGTGATTTCAGTATTAAATTGAAACCTGACTCAACACCCTTCGCTCTGACGACGCCAAGAAGAGTGGCAATCCCGCTCTTGAACAAAGTCAAGGCAGAATTGGAGAGAATGAAAAATTTGGGCGTTATCTCGAAAGTCGATGTACTCACCGAGTGGTGTGCAGGGATGGTCGTTGTACCCAAACCAGATGGTAATATTCGAATATGTGTCGACCTAACGAAACTCAACGAGAATGTTCTTCGCGAGACTTACCCTCTTCCAAAGATAGATAACCTATTAGCACAGATCAGCGAATCCAAAATCTTCACTAAATTGGATTGCAATTCAGGATTTTGGCAGGAGAAGCTAGACGAACAATCTCGGTTATTAACCACGTTTATCACACCGTTTGGCAGGTTCTGTTTCAATCGAATGCCTTTTGGTATCAAGACGGCACCTGAGCATTATCAGAAGAAGATGAACGAAATTTTGGAAGGCCTGGATGGTCAAGTATGCATAATTGATGACATATTGATCCATGGGAAGACCCAGAAAGAACATGACACTAGACTTAGAGCAGTGCTGAAGAAACTAGATGAATCTGGAGCTACACTTAATCCAGAGAAATGCGAGTTTTCAAAGAAAGAAGTCAAGTTTGCTGGTTGTATCCTTAACGAAGAAGGAATCAAGTCTGATCCCGATAAAATAGAGTCGATTCGAGACATGGATGCACCTCAGAATGTGGGCGATGTACGTAGATTCCTTGGAATGGTCAACCAACTTGGGAAGTTTATTAACCACTTAGCAGAGAAAACGAAGCCAATTAGAGACCTCCTTAGTAAAAACAATCAGTTTCTATGGGGACCAGCTCAACAAGAAGCCTTCGAGAAGTTGAAAGTCGAATTAAGTTCCACACCAGTACTTGCGTATTATGATCCTTCCAAGAAAACCATTTTGTCAGCAGATGCCTCCTCTTATGGTCTTGGGGCTGTCCTTCTACAAGAACAAGAGAACGGTGAAAGAAAGCCAATTGCATACGCATCCAGATCTATGACTAGCACCGAACAGCGCTACGCCCAGATTGAAAAAGAAGCTTTGGCAACAACTTGGGCGTGCGAGAAATTCAACGATTATATTCTTGGGAAAGATATCCTCATTGAGACAGACCACAAACCACTTGTTCCTTTATTTGGCACAAAGCTTCTTGATCAACTCCCTCCTAGAATTCAGAGATTTAAAATGAGACTGATGAAATATTCATTCCACGTTAATCATATACCAGGAAAGGAGTTAGTCACTGCTGATACTCTTTCAAGAGCGCCAATTAGAAAACCACCTACCAAAGTCGATAAGCGGTTGACAGAAGATTTGAGCTTGTATGTGGCGAACATTTTCGAAAGCCTACCAGCTAGCGAACGGAAACTTGAAGAAATTCGACTTCATCAACAAGATGATGAAGTGTGCAGAAAACTTTCAGAATTTTGCACTGAAGGCTGGCCAGATAGGACCAAGCTGAACTCAACTCTTCTTGCTTATTGGCCAGAGAGAGGTAATATCACAGTGCAAAGAGGTATTCTGATGAAAGATACAAGATTAGTCATCCCGTCTTCATTACGACTGGATACTCTGGATAAAATCCATGCGGGTCATCAAGGAATTCGAAAGTGTTGAGAAAGAGCACGCGAGTCTGTGTGGTGGCCAGGGCTGAGTAAGCAGATTGAAGATATGGTTACGACGTGCCCAACTTGTTGTAAGCATCGACAAAACCACGCAGAGCCTATGATAGCGTCTCCACTCCCAGAACGACCCTGGCAAAAGATTGCCACAGATCTTTTCCATCATAATGGGAAAGACTATGTCATCGCTGTCGATTATTACTCCCGATACTTCGAAGTTGCTCCACTCAAGATTACCACTTCAGAGAACGTCGTGAACCACTTGAAATCGTTTTTCTGTCGTCATGGTATCCCAGAAATTGTTATGTCGGATAATGGGCCGCAATTTTCTGCAGCTACCTTTTCCAAATTTGCGGACGAATGGGGGTTTACTCATTTAAAAAGCAGTCCCTATTACCCTCAAAGTAATGGAGAGGCAGAGAGGGCAGTAAAGACCGCAAAGAGTCTATTTGTCAAATCTGAAGATCCATATTTGGCTCTACTGTCCTACAGAACAACACCACTACAGAATGGACACACTCCAGCAGAGTTACTGATGGGATGCAAATTACGTTCTACTTTGCCTTTATCTCCAGAAAAGCTGAAACCTATGTTATTAGACACGGAACAATTAAGAAAGAACAAACAGACATACAAACGTCAACAAACACAAGGTTACAACAAGCGACATAGAGCGGCATGTTTGTCTGACCTGAGTCCTGGAGAAACAGTTTGGTTGCCAGAAATGAGTTCTCCAGCAGTTGTTGTTTCCAAGTCACCCAAACCAAGATCATATATTGTGCAAACGGAAAAAGGCACGGTGAGAAGAAATAGACGACAAGTAGTACCCAGTCCAAAGGAACCAGTTATGAGAGAATCACAACCTACGAACGAGAGTACGAGTGAGAACATTTCATGTCCCAACAGTATGTCCGACAATGTCGTGAGAACTCGTTCAGGACGTGTTGTTGTACCGCCTAATAGACTCAATTTGTGAACTTATATGATTGATGAACTGAAACAATTATAATTTAGCGATCAGAAACAATTAAACATTAAAGAACACTTAGATTTAAATTAGAAAAAAAAACAAAAAAAGAACGCATTTAGAATTAAGTAATTTAATGACATTTAGAATTAAGTAATTTAATGACATTTAAGAGACATAAAAATATTTATCTTCGAAAAGGAGATGTGTGGTCATTTGTAAGTTAATTGTTTACTACATATGATAATTAGGTGTTATTCTAATTAGTATATAATGCATGGTTGAACATGTAGTTTTTAGTTCTTAAATAATGATATATCGAGGACTTTACAGCCTCAAACAAAACCATCCTGGTGTACATGTGGGGTATGCCGACCAATGCCAACGGATCAAGAGAACAAATGTTGTGGAAAAATAAAGTGCACAACATCATATGTGACATTCCAGAACACTTGTCTCGATAGAGATAGATTAATTATGGCTATTAGAGGAAGATGTGATTTGAGGGCAGAAGAACCCGACTATTCTACAAACAGTTTTAGGAAGGCAGCATACCGTCAGTACATTTTATGGAGGCACAAAAAGTTAGGCACAATGGTTATAATATAATACATGACTGCTTGTAAATGCCACTTTTATCTTTGAAATTTGTTATTAATTAAACATGCAAATATACATGCAATTATATAACCTTGTGATATATCATACTTGAAAAAATTCTTTAGGAAATAATATGTACATATATAATACATATGTACATGTAGCCTGTAACAATGCCAGCCATAGCAGCTGGTCATGCTAAACTATAAACAAAGTTGTTCTTAAATGGGTCTGAAGGCAACAGATTTTCGAAATAGTTGAATGTTTTAATCATCATACCATTAATGGCAAAACAATTTTGCCACTTTAAGCATTAGGTTGGAGTCTGTGGCTCTGGGTCTTCAGCAACCTGCTGCTGTACGTTGTTGGCAGAAGCACTGGTGTGTACAAATCTCGAAAGTGACTGTTTAACCAAACCATCTGTTTTTGGTATGGGATGAAGTGAAATTGACGGTGCAATATTTTTTGGATGCTCCTCGGAAATTTCCACTCTACAGTGCACACTATCATCATCATCAATCCTCTTCTGGATAATCCGGGTAGCTAGTGTGGGCCAAAAGTCATATGTTTTCGGATCTTTGACAGGCACAATCCTATGATTGTTCGAACGTTTACTGTAAACTTTGTTGTATTTAAGTTTACCAGTGGCACTAACAGCATTTTTCCGAAACACATGTGTGTTATGATCAATGGCTGCCAGATAGGTTCTACCAATAAATGCTTCAATTCTGTAAAAATCAAAATGTAATTTGTATACTGAAATGTCTAACGAAAGAGGTAAAGATGACTCTAAAAATGCCATTGCTGACAATTTAGAGTCGAAATTTAAATTTTTGGCAATCATGTGGCACTCTGGGCCTCTTGGTCAGCCCCCCCCCCCCCAAGTTAAAATGTTCAGTAACTTTCCTATGCTCCTAATGAAGGAGCTGTACATGTGACCGTGAAGACGGATCACTTGGAGTGCTGCATGCTTTAAACATAATTAATAGTGAAAACTTACTGGAATCCAACTCTTTTTGGTGCATATTTTAGTAGCATAGAGTTGAAATTTTCTAATTTGCTTGTGTGCCTACATAAACAAGAATAAAACATGATTTTTTTAACATAACATTTCCATCTTAAATCACCACATGCATAATGATACACACATCTGAATATTTTAAGGCAACACAATCACTCTTCTAATATGCAGCATGCATGTTTGTTATACCTGAATGTTACATAATGACTCAAACTTTTCAGGAATCATTGATCAAGAACAATGTTACGGATAGCTTCAAATGCCTTGGAATTGTTGTTTAGGTATGTTTTCCCACCTTCTTCAGCAACTAGCAGCCCATGCACACATTCACCATCAAGCCACTCATGCTCCCCAGCAATATGATGAAGCACTCCAAACCAGTTGTCCTAAAAAACAAACAAAGCAATTATTACAATTATTTTATGTTTTTTTCATGTTTATTCATACCAAATGTTTGTTCTTACCCGTGGGATGAATACAATATATTTAGAAAAAAGTAAACATTTATTAAATTGACATGTTTATGTATAGCCAAGTGAGCTTAAAATTACCTTGAGATTCTCTAAATCACACTTACAGTTCTGGCAAACAAACCAAAAATGATTACGTATTGGTTCTGACCATTCAGTGATATTCTCACAGCCTTTGACTTTAGCTGCCTTTAATTGCATATCAAGAATAACAAGATTTAATTTTTTTTGACAGTTTACAGTATACACTATCCACATTCCACACTGTCACATTCAGAGAACCATATATTGTATTATAGCATTTCTCTACATATTGCAGCAGGTAATCTGAGGTAATGTACACTTATTCTATTACATTTCATGAAAGTATGTACTGTATAACTGTTTTCTGTAAATTTATATGGTATGTAAGACTGTATGGGCGGTACATCTACTTTACCTTGGTAAGTTTTTTTGACAATTTGACAGATTTATGCCATATATCAAGTGCATGAAAGAGATGAGAGAACTCATTGGGATATTTATCGGGCAATGGGAAAAGTAAAAATTACACATAAATATGACTGAAATAGTCACCAACTTTATTAAACAAGTTATATTCGATTTGTCTCAATAAGACATATTAGCCAGGGTTACCAGGGACGTACATCTAGAGAGGGGGTGTGTTGGGGGGGAGTTAACACCCCAATTCATCACACACTCTGAAAATGCCTGTTGACTCAGCAAATTGTTTTTGATTTATTGGTCATCGAAAATATTTGAGTGGCTCAGAATAAAATTTACGATAATTGTTAACAAATTACGATAAATTAATGAGTTCCGAAAAACGTTTTGACTCCACCCCCCCCCCTCGCCAGCAATTTTGGGGAAAATATTAATTGGCGACTGAAATGTTCGGCAAATGTGATATTACACACTCCCCCTTCTTTAGCTTGTCTGCTATGGCCCTGAGGGTTACTGTATTTTTCTGAAATCTGAAAACATGTCTATATAATTTACCAATTTATTACAGTACCTTTCATCGTTCTAACCAGGGCAATAACAGCAACCGATGCATCAGTTACAATTTCTGAAATGATAATATTGCCAACCATTCTTTCCAGTTTCCTTTTCAAGCCCAGAACTTCCATGTTGGTTGACACACCCCCTGTTTCACATTTATCGACCACTTCAACATCAACCATAACATCCAAACTCTGTTCCATTAAGGCATACATACAATATTTAGCACTGTGTCCTGGAGAGTTGTTACGTCCGTCACCACACAATATGACAGTTTCCTCAGATAGTATGTCCCAAATTTCTGCTTTCATCTGCTCCCAATACCTTGTGACTTCAGGAATTATGTAGAGTGTTTGCATTCTGTAGTATGTTGAATTTGAAATGATACCAAGTCCGAGGAATTAATAATAATAATAAACTTTATTTAAAGAAGGTGTAATTATACAAAAACCAGTTTAGCAACGCTAATCTTACACTGGGCCTTCTGTTCAACTGTTATCGTCTACTTATTACAAATTTACTATTAAAACTACACATTAAATTGGACATCAGTACAACAAGAACATATAAAAGTCGTACAAACAAATAACTTATATATAAGTATCTAAAAAGTATTTATAGGCTCTTATTTTAAAGGAGCTTAATGACGTTGATTGTCTGGTCGCACGTGGTAAACTGTTATATAATGTTGCACCACTGAATTTCAACGTTTTCTGCCTAATTGTTAGTTTCGTTCGCGGTATCCACAGTTCGTTGTTCTCTGAGCTTCTTGTAATTCGTTTTGTCACTGATGACTTTAAGACAAATAAGTCACTTATGTACTTGGGTACCCAGTTGTTTAATGATTTATATACCATTATTGCTGTTCGTAGCATTACTCTTTGCTGTATAGGCAGGACTCCAGCAGCTTTAAATAGTGGCCCAGAAGAGGTTAGCTTCGGTTTGTCGTAAATAATTCTCAGAGCTAACTTTTGGAGTTTATGTATGCGAATAATATGACATGATTGTCCCCAAACTGTACAGCAATAATCTACATGAGGTTGTAAGAAACACTTGTAGTAAATTACTCGGTGACCAATAGGCAAATATTCTTTGATCTGTCTCAGAAGATGAATTCCTTTAATTAGAGATTTTGCTACTTTGTCAATCTGCTGTTTCCAGGAAAGATGTTCATTCATAACAACCCCAAGTATTTTCTCATTGTTGGTATTCTTTAACTGGACACCGTTAAATTCTACTCGTAGATTTGAATTTAATGTGGCTGCGCGCTGAGATGTTGTTATCATCATTGCCTTCGTTTTACCGTCATTTATTACCATGTTGTTGTTAGTACACCAAGCTTGAACGTTTGTCATATCCTCAGTTAATTTATTATTGAGTTCCTCAACTGTTCTAGCACTTGTATGGATTGTCGAATCATCAGCATACATGTCTGTGTTGGAATTGGCATATAATGGAAGATCATTGATAAACATTATAAACAATAAAGGTCCTAGAATACTTCCTTGGGGGACACCATACAGAGAAGATTTCTTAGATGACAAAGTTCCTTTAAAGTGCACACATTGGTCTCTTTCTTGCAGGTATGACTTAAACCAGGATAATGTCAAATCATCACATTTGTAAACTGCAAGTTTTCGTAATAACAAATCTGTATCTACCATGTCGAAAGCTTTGCGTAGATCAATAAATACTGCCCCATTTATGAGGCCGCTCTCCATGTTGGATGTCCACATATCCACAAGTTTGCATAGCGCTGTTTCACACGAGTGATTTCTTCGAAAACCAGATTGGGCATGATGTAATAAGTTATGACTCACGAGAAACTGGTAAAGATGATTGTGAATATGACGCTCGAGAACTTTACTGACAGCGCAGAGTATGGCTATGGGCCTGTAGTTGTTGACATCACATTTGGCACCAGATTTGTAGATTGGGATAATTTTTGATGTTTTCCATTTTGTCGGAAACATTCCGGATGATAAACTTTTATTGAAAATCTTAGTCAGAGATGGAGCTATTAAATAGGTTGACATCTTCAAAATCTTGTGACTTAAGCCATCAAGTCCGGTTGCTTTGTGAGTGTCTAAGTTACGTAGATAACTACAAACCTCTTCTTCAGTTAGTTGTGGGATACTAAAGGCATCATCACTATTAATTCTTGAGTTGACCATTTCAGATAGTTTATCAAAGTCACTAGAAAATTGTTGAACCGCAACATACTGGTTAACAATGGTGGAGAAAAAGTTGTTGAAATGTTCACACATATCTTCAGGGTCCGATATGCTGGAGTTGTTTGAGTTATTTCGTAAACTTGACGGTGCGGTTTTAAGATTTGTTGGAATAATATCACGTAGATATTGCCACAATTTCTTCGAATCACCTTTATGATCTTCAACACAAGTTTTATAGTAGGTAGTTTTTGCATCCCTGATTAACGACACACAACGGTTTCTGTAGGTCTTATAATTTACCATATCGTTGATCGATTTGAAATAATCCCTTTGGGCGATACACTGAATAATCTCGTAGGTCATCCAATCAGGTTGTTGTTGTTTTTTCACTCGCTTTTCTCGCAAAGGTAAATGTTTGTCAATCACGTCAAGGAATAAATTGTACCACGCCTCTAAAGCATTGTCAACATCATCAAATATATCGATTGTGTCCCAAGGGATTTGAGATAAGTCTTTACAAAAGGCTTCTTCGTTAAAGTTTTTATAGCAACGATACTTGATGGTCGTGTGTGAATGTTTCCTACCAAAACTATCTTTAAATACTACGCAAGTTGGATAATGATCACTAATTCCAATTCTTGGGACTTTAACGCTTCTAATTTTATGTGGGACGGATGTAAATACGTGATCTAGAAGTGTAGATGTATTTTCTGTAACTCTTGTTGATTCTGTAACAATCTGGTGAAGATGTAAGTCACCCATAGATTCCAACCAACATTGAGAGTCACTGGTATTTTTCGAAACATCGATGTTAAAATCTCCCATTATTGTTAGTTGATGGCCTTCCACATAAGCTTTATTTAGTTGCATTTCAAAGTTTTCAATCCACTGCGATGTGGTGTACTCAGGACATCTATATGCTACACAAATAAGGTGAGCCGGACTATTAGGTGGACAAAGTTGTAACCAGATCGATTCAACATTGATAGATTCAAGATCATTTCTTCTAAAATAGGGAATGTCCTCCTTAATGTAAACAATAATTCCGCCTGCATGGTGCTTATCAATTGGTAATGTTTTTGAAGATCTGTCGCTTCTTTCGTGTGTATAACCATTGATTTTAATACATGTGTCATCAATTGACTCGTCTAACCAAGATTCCGTAACACCTAGAATGTGTGTTTCGCTGCCTGGGTCCTTTAGAATTAGTTTTATTTCATCTAGCTTAGTGTTATTAATTCTCGGTGCTAAACTTCGCAGAAGTCCGCTTGGCAAGTCACTACACAGAGATGGATAATGGGAGTGTGCGTCGTTGTAAGTCCCAACAGGTAATTTTGTAGTACTCTGGGCATTGAAGGAAAGACACCGAAAATATTTACTACCGGGACCTGGATTGATAGCAACGTCTCCTGATAACAAGATCCATAGGAGCAGGTGTAGATTGTTGTTAATTTGAAACTGTAGGCCATAATGATAATTACTGGACAATGAACATTTCCTTAAAATAGTATCACGCGTTGAAATCCAAATATAGCTTAATCGGCTAGATATTGATACAAATTCCGAGGAAATAATAGAATTCTGCGGCGTTGATGAGGATTTCTGAGGATCTATTGCTGGTAAAAACGATAGTTTGTCAAAGTTATTTCCAGAAATTAAACATCCAGCAGACATCAAGAAAGGGTTGGCATATATAATTTGCCCATCGTGCCGACTGAGCTCTTGTGAGGATGCCCAGCATCCAGTGTGACCTTTGGAACATTCCCATGACACTTTTAAAACACCTCCTTCAAGTTTATTATTTACAACTTTACTTTTTCCTGAACAAGATAGATGTTGGCAGCCCTTGTTAAAAATATCCACCATAATAGACACATTGAAAAAAGTGCTCACTGCACCTACTGTTTCGTTTCTCAATCCCATTCAACACATTGAATGCAGATTTCATTTCATTTAGCAACCTTTCATTTCTTTCTGAGCATGATTCTGGTTTTTGCTCCTTGCCAACATCACCATCTTCTGAGTCACTGATGTCCATATCCTCTTCTCCTTTAGTTATATTGGGACTGCATGAAGATGTCATATCAACTTCCAGGTCTATAGCACTCAATGTTGTTTCATCATCGTAATCATCTGATAAACTGCAGCATAAATAAGGAAAGAATTAATTGCAAAATAGTTCAGCATTATTGAGTAGTTGTATGAGCATTTCTAACCCAGGGATGTTGGGATTTATATTATCAGAAAAGTAATCGATACCTAATTAATTATTAATAGTCTACATCAGATTCAAATTGATTCAAAATTTCAAATTACCGCTCAACATCATCACTGAAACAGAGTTCACTGCAGCAATTCTCCCCCAAACTGTTGTCTATGTCACTGTCACAAACAATAAAAAAAGTCGACTGATCAGTAATCACCATTTCAAACATCTCTTTTAGATTATGAATGATGTATAAACCTTAATATTGACCTCTTTATTCCACTTTATTACTAACTTGCGAATCATTCAGAATTCCAAATATAGATATACCCTACCCTAGTTTAGAATTTACAGTACCTTGTCGACGAAGTGTCCGTTGATTCTGAACTTGAACAATCGCTTTCAGAAGAAGATGGATCTCCAGCATGTATTCCAAATTCTGGATTAATGAAAGTGTAGACGCTCTCCACCCTGCTAACATTCATATTCTCATGAGAAGAGGTAGAATCTTCAATGTATGCACCGTGAACATCGTCCTTGTAAATTGGCGAAGTAGCATGAAATAATCCCATGTTGCTATTTCCATTTGGTGTTGAATTGACGACTGGAGGTACATGTATGTCTGTCATCTGAAACTTAAAAACCAAGCTGATATGTATAAAGCCGAAGTTCATGTAAAAACATACAATGGGTCAAAAGAGTTTTATGCTTACCATCAGTAGGGGTCGGTATAAAATTACTTTCGCCATGTTCTTCCTCGCAGAAATTCAACAACAAGTGCATCACAAACTCACTATGGGTCTTCTTTGAAAAACCAAGAGAATCCTTCCTTGAAAGCCACGTTTCGAACACATCCTTCTTTAATTTAATTCTTGTGATTCCTACTTCATTTCTTGGCATACCACGTTTTGGAGGGGAAACGCCAGACTTGCAAATTGAAGCAGACATATTTTCGTATCGTGCACTCATACAACCTAACATGCCGCCATTTTCGAGTGCCCCGAAAATAGCTGGTCAAGCGCGCAATGCATCACGGTTGAGACTCATTCTTTAAACTGAACCCCTATTACTATTTACACAAACTGTTATATACCTGTGGTACGCCCACAGTCTACATGCTAATCACTATTGACCAAATTACAATATTCTAATTATAACATCTCCCTCCTTAAAGAAAGTAATATATATGTGTGTGTATATATACTGAAAAACACTGAAAAATTTAACATATGAAATGGGGGATACCGGATCAGGACTCCAAATGTGAGATACCAGATTTTAAATTTGGATACTGGAAATCACAAGCTCAGTATCATGAGGGATAATAGAGAAAATTCTGGTCGCAATACAAAAATAATTTACTATCCAAATGTGAGATACTAGATTTTTGGGTGGATACCAGATTTTAAGTTGCTAGTGTCCTGTTAGATTCTGCAAATTTGAAGCCTTGGAGGATTTAGTTTAGGGAATACGTTTATGCCAATATAACTTGTTAATTAACCCACTAGCATGCAATACTCCCCCTTCATAGTTTTACTCTGTCTAACACCAGATTGACACTTAATGGCCTAAATGGTTAAGTTATTTTCATCTTCCAGATCTTGTTCATCATCTTCCTGATCTTGTTCATTATCTTCATCAAGTTGCAGAGGAGCGTTAAGAAGCACATTCTTCTTGTGCTGTAATAGCCTGCATGTTGTAAAATCAGCTCCACTTAGTGATTTCAAGTTGTCTGCATCAATCATGTTTCGCTCGCTACTCTGGTTTGAATAAATGATTACAAAGCCCAGTCGAATTGTAATCAAGACCCAACATTTTGACACTCCAGGCTAGTGTCTTCATCAGGGGTCATCTAAAATTGCAATCGTGGCTTCTTAAATACCCAAGGGATGATGTCACCTGCCAATAAGATGCATATATTCCTCTGGCAAATAGGCACCGTCACCCCTATTCAAAGCATGATGACTCATATGTATATGCCACGCTTCTAGGCAAAAAGTCTTTGACCATAGCGATTGTTTGTGGTAATTACTTTAGAGTTTTCCCACGCAATCTCGTGTTTGGTGTGACATACATGTTCGGCTAAAGCTGATTTTCCCTTGTCTAAAGTTGAAACAGCCTTTTGATGATTTTCTTTTAGCCGTGTACCAAACTGGCGTTTAGACTGACCCAAATATTCTTTCTCGCAGTCACCGCATGGTATAGAATATATAGCATGAGTTTTCTGATTTGTTTTAACAGGATCTTTTGGCTTTGCAAAAATATGGCCTAAAGTCAAATAGGGTTTTAAGGCAACCTTAATATTACAATTACTTAAGATTCACTTGATTGGTTCTGTGACACCTTGAATGTATGGAACTATTGCATAAACCTTAACAGAGGTATCACCCTCGGAGTTATTTTGGTTCCTACAAACAGGTGGTCTCAGGCAATCATTAAGAAAACGCTTTGGGTAATTGTTTTCCCCTAAAACATTTAGAACATATTCACGTTCATTAGCTTGAGAATCACTGTTTGACAGCAACGATTCAGCTCTTTGAAGCAAAGTTTTTGCTACGGATCTTTTATGGCTTACTGGGTGATGAGAGTCATATGACAACTCTTTGTCTGTGTGTGTGGGTTTGCGATAAACATCAGTCTCTAACTTCCCTTCGACAGTTCTGTGCACATTTAAATCTAAAAAAGCTAAATGTCCATTTATCTCACGTTCTACCATGAATTGGATGGAAGGCTCAATAGAATTTACATGTTGCAGCAGAATATCGATCTCATTTCTGGAAACCGCAGAGATGACATCATTGACGAAATGTTTCCAAAACAATAGGGACACCGGAACAGAGGCTAAAGCTCTTTGTTCGACATTTTCCATTACTAATTAGCAATTACTGCTGATACCGAGTGTTATTCAAATTTGAACCTAATGTGTTACTGCATCCCTATACCCACAGCCCCTTTATTGGGGCCTTATTGAAGATAGGAGGGGGGGGGGGCTTGTTCATTTAGGAGCTTGTTCATTTTCCTCTAGTGAGGAGCATAGAAAAGAGAGCCTGGGTACGAGGTTGCACAAGCACTTTTTCATTTGTAATTTTTATAGCCTATGTTTCAAATGTTCTGGTTTTGTTTGTAATTCAGTGGAGTTGTTATGTGTTAAATGATATTATTACCAAAACACATTAACTCATTGAGTCGCATTGCACCCTGATGCGCCCTACTTTATCATTTCACACTTATAACGCCACACAAAATCCTGGCTATGTCAATGTAAACTAATAATTATGACACTAAATGATTAATTTGAAAATGTAAATTGTAATCAAATTGCAGAGTTGATACAATTTGTTATTCAGTGCCATGACTTGTATTCACAAATGGTGAAAGAGAATATGGAATAATTTATATTATCATTCAGGCATAAACGTACCCTCGGGAATAACAATAGATTCTCACATTCTAATGCTTAATGGGTATTAAGCGGCAGAGCTTCGATCCCCATTGACAAGTAAAATCGTCTGGTGTTAAACAAGTAAAAAATATAAGTAGGTGCACAGCAGTGCATTGCACCTCAATGGGCTAACTAGTCAGTCATAACAAGCTGCAGAGCTTCCCAATTGAATCTTCAGTAAAATCATCTGGCGTTAGACAAGTAAAAAAATAAGTAAGGCACACTGGGCCGCATTGCAGCTCAATGGGTTAATTGTAATTAGAGATCTTTTTTATTTTCCTTTGCATTAAATTACCTTAAGTAAGCTTCTTTTTGTATGCCAGTCTACTATTCTGAATGGGTATATGTGGTCAAATCGGTCCTTCGATGTATGACAACCAGATCGCAGGTCTTTTGCTCCAGCAAATCTAACTCTTGATAACTGGTCACCATAACAAGGAATTTTGACATTCTGCAGGGGGTCAGAAGAGGATGCCACAGGTGGAATATGGGAAGCTGACTGATCTGGTCTGGAAGTAGTGGAAGGGAGCCCAGGACATTGGGAAGAACTATCAGGAACATGACCAGGGCAAAGTCCAGCTTTGGAATAGATTTCATGAGTCCATGTTTCAAGTTGGTCAAGGGCATCAACCACCTCCGTGTATTTTTTTCATCTTTCATAAGCACAGGGAAAGGCACAACTGTTGATTCCGTATTCATTGCCTCAATAGACAGGTTCAGATTCAACTTCCACTACCAGTACCACTACCTTTGACGGCTCCATTGGTAGCGGTCGCGACAGACTGTTTAGACCTGTTCAGATTAGACTTCCATTTGCGACTGCTTTCTGGTGATTTACGACGTTTGATAAAAGCAAGATGGCGGCTTTAAGAGCGGGGGAAGAACAGCTTCTGTTTTTAGCGGACGAAGAAGGAGACGTAGAAGATGACGAAATGCTTGGGTTTTTCCTATATTTAACAGAAGGCTTGAACCCAATACCTCACCGTAATTATTCGCGGTTTAAACTAGAAAACTACAGCAATGAAGAGTGTGTACTTAATTTCCATTTCACGAAGGCCGACGTTATTCACTTGGCAAATGCGCTGCGGTTATCTGATCGTTTTGTGTGTAAGAATGGCACTGTTGCTAGCACATTGGAAGGATTATGCATGCTTTTACGTCGACTAGCCTATCCCAATCGTTTGACTGATATGGTTCAAATGTTTGGTTGGTCCAAATCCGAGTTGAGTATGGTAATCAACAGTGCTGTTGATTTTGTATTTAACCAGCATCATTCGCTGTTAAATAACCTAAATGTACCTTGACTGGCTCCAGAAAGGTTGAAAGAAATGGCAAGGGCTGTTCACGAGAAAGGGGCAGCCCTTGATAATGTATGGGGATTTGTTGATGGCACGGTAAAGTAGTTAAGGTTATGTTGTGTGATATGGCTTATAGAGAAGCAATCATAATAAATTCAGGGGAAATGTCATAAATACTGTGCTCAAACAGTTTTGCTTTATAAATGTAGGTACGGCCAATTAGTCGACCAAAGTTGCACCAGAATGTTATGTACAACGGTCATAAAAGAGTACATGCCATTAAATGGCAGGCTGTAAATGCTGCAATAGGACTAATTGTTCATCTTGATGGGGCTGTAGGTAAGTAATGAAATAAAATACACATGACTTTGATTCTAAAAAGGTACAACATAAAATGAAAATTATACACAATTATACACGATATAGGCAAAAAGCAGTAATAATAGAATAATAAAATATTCTTACAATTTGTATGTATTTTTCCAGAAGGCAAACGTCATGATGCTGCAATGCTAATGATGTCAGCCTTGTGCCCCCAACTGGAGGTGTATTCCCATGATGGTAATGGTCACCCTCTAGCCATATATGGTGATCCGGCATATCCTCATAGGGTTCATCTGCAGAGCCCATACAAAAGGGTAAACCTAACTGATGCTCAGAAACAATTTAATCAATCCATGAGTGCTGTTAGAGTTTGTGTGGAGTGGCCATTTGGAGAAATCGTGAAGTACTTTGCTTTTAATGATTTTAAGAAAAATCTTAAAATTGGTCTACAATCAGTTGCAAAGATTTATGCAGTTTCATGCTTGATTTATAATGCTAAAGTGTGCCTTCAGGGTTCTAATACAGCAAGTTACTATGGACTGAATCCCCCAACTATAGATGAATACTTTAGTCAATCCATATAAATTATGTTGTTATATAGCTAGCGTGAACACCAAACGTGATTGGCTGATTTGTGGTCACGTGACTTCAGATAAATGCAATGTTTCCCGCCGGGCAACAAGTGATAAATTATTGCCTGCCCCGACCGGCCACGTACATAAATAAACAAAATGGAGGCACAACTCAGATAATTAGAAACTATGATTTTCCAAGTTTGTGTTCAAATAAAGAATATAAAAGAGAAGAAAAATACACAACAGGCAACAGGATATGCTGCTGAAACCGTTTAAGTAGGTTCTTTTAATTTTAAACTCGTTTACACTATTGAGTTTTTGTCACGAAATACAATTGTTGTATGAATGTTGTTGAAGTTGATTTTTGTTCGTCGCTATATAACAAAACACTTAATGCCTGTTCCCTCGGGAAATAGTTTGTTTTGTTTTCCCTTGAATCTTAATGTTTCCCTCAACTTGATTGAGATTCTCGGGAAAACAAAACTATTTCCCTCGGGAGCAGACATTAAGTGTATATTGTTACAAGGGGTCATACACAAAGTCAATAGGCTTGGGAACTGGAATGCCACTATGCTAAGCCTAGCCGCTCCCCCCACCCAGAAAGCAATATATGAATGTTAAGCAATGTATGGTGGTTTGGTACCCTTTTCTTTACCCCTTATTCTGTCCTGAGCAAAGTTACAGTAATTCCAAAAGACTTTTGTACATAGAAAAAAATTTAAATTAATGTATTGAAAGTATATACACAACTTATTAACATATACAAAGAACATATTTCAAATACATTGAAAGGTTATGTTCATATGACCAAATAAAAAATAAATAATGAATATTGTACATAATAAATAATTTAAATTGACTGATTATGTATTATTCTATATTTTATATAAGTAATACAATTAATTGAATAACATTTTTTAAACCCAAGTGGAACAGCTATACAGTCTTATATATTAAGATTGTTTGAACTTATTCATAAATGTTTCAAATAAATTGAACATTGCCTTTTGCGATTCCTGCTGCATTTTCATTTGCTCGACCATTTGATTCTGCATGTTTTGCTGTACATCCAATCTTTGTTTTTCCAAAATAATTTCTTGCTCACAAATTTTCAGTTGTTTCTCGGTATTTTCCTTGTTGGTATCTTGTTTATATTTAAGGTATTCAAGAAACTCTGTGCTTTTCCTCTTTCTGCCAGGACCAGAAGTATCTTCTTGCTCTTGCTTTTTCTTTGTTTCGCCCAGTTTTTCGCCTTTTCCTTTTCTACTTTATCTTTTTTTAATTGACTTTCTTGTAGGAAACCATTTTCATATCCAACCATACAGCTGTGTATATCCGTCAACAATTGTGTTTTTTCGTCAACTCAGTATCAATGCCGGTTGCTCTTGCTTCTTGTGTTTCTTGTTTTTTTTTAATGCTTCGACAAGTTCAAAAAACCTGGTTCGCACTGAACGTTGGTTAAGGCTTGCAGGAAAACCGGAGTTTGGTATCTCTGTCAAATTTACTGCTATATTCCTGAAAGCATCTCCTCGCTCCCGAGAGCCATGTTTCCATCTATAAGGCTCGATGGAAATTACTTCAGTCAAAAGCCACACATGTGTAGTTTTCCACCGAAATTTTGTTCATTTTTTGGCTGGTCTATACGAAGAAATAATAGTTGAATGTAAGCCACATTGAACCATTCGGTAATTAAATAAACTTTTCGAAATACAAATGTACTTACAGACTATTTTGATCCTTTTCTTCTTCAAGCTCCAAAGTCTATATTATTCATATCACTCATATTTGTTTCGACCAACTTTAAAAAAATCCTAAATAATATTAAATAGAAATAAATATAACAAATAAACAAAACAGAAAGCAGAAAGATATTACAGAAAAACAACATTCTTGTGTATATTTATTAAAAAAACAACTTGCCTTTTGAACGGTTCTCCCGATGACCATAAATCGCTTTGTTATGGTCCCAAAACAAAAACATGCAACGCTTTCCTCACGCTCTTGCAGTTACTGCGCATGCGTAACGCATTTAAGGTAGCGGTAGTGGTAGTGGAAGTCAAATCTGAACCTGTCTAATGTTAATTAGCATGTGGCAATTGTGCAGGCAGCAAATCTTGAAGGAATTTGAATGCTGGTAAATATTCACATAGGATCTTTCCTACAAGGAGCTTATAACGTTCCCTTATCTTGCATATTTCTTCATCTCTTAAGCCAACAAGCTCATTCATGTCACAGTCCTTGAAAGACTTCTGAGATCCAGTGTCAGGGTGTTGCTTAGAGGAGATACGATCAAAAACCAGGCTTGTGACTACTGCATAGACATCAACATTTTGGGCATCTGAACACATGTCCTGCACCTTTTCCATCCACTCAATATTGTCTAATACAAAAACAAATGTTTTTCCTTCTTGCACTTTCTTGACTGCCAAGTCCATAAAATGATTTCCAATTTCATCCAGAATATTCTACTTCATTCTCTTACCCAGACAAAAGCTGTATTTGCTCAAACGTTCAATTGTCTAAAACAAAATGTATTGAGACAACGATTTACAATTGACTCCAAAAGTGCTTATGTCAGATAACTTCAATCCATCTTAACAATGATGTATAGATAATGCAATGTGGGGGGGGGGGGACACATGGGGGATCAAATATTGTTTGATAGTAAAGTTGATATAACTCAGTCTTCTCAATTGCACTACAAAATTGAAGTGCAATGAAATATAAATTACACAGCTTATATATAGCCATAGCATGTGTAAGGACTGTATTATGCTGTTACTATTATACTGTTATTTTCACCTTTTTTGCATTTCATTTGTTCAATTAGATAATTATCATATTAATCAGCAATACATTAGAAACATTTTTGCAACAAAAATTTAGTATGAATATCAAGTACCAGATCTGAGTAGCACAGCAGGGCGTTTGATAAGCAATCTCCTTTACATACTGTATTGCAGCACAATTAATACAGTCTGAGTACACAGGCTACAATCAGTTTCAAACGTCTTGGGACAGATGCCACAAAACCTTTGAATTTCAACAAACGTCAATCCCCGCCCCCTGTTCAATGTTGTGTCCCATTTCTCATCAGGTTTGATGTGTTTTGGCTGGAGCAACATTGATTGGGGAGGGGGAGGGGAGCCGTATTGTGTGTAAAAAACTGTAATGATCTGCTTACAATCTAAAACTACATGTGTCCCAACAACTTCTGAAAGTGATTGTCTGGACCCCATATGCCATAACACCATTGTATATCTCAGAAGTACTGGGTATAGAATGCTCTGCGAACGAAGTATTTCTGCTCCATTTTGTTCACAGAAGATCTAATAAAACATTTAAAACAATTAAGCTCCATTAAAATTCTCAAAGTTAATAATTAACAGGATATGAATATAACTTGTTATGTCATATAGTATTCTTAATCGTTGTTTGTTTTCACAAATTTCGGCAGAGCACAAGTGGGTTATTTGAGAGGTTATAGTCCGTCAATATAAAGATAGGTATCGCGAATGTTTTACGCTAGATATGTCACACTTACTGTTAATTTATAGCATAGTAATATAACATCCGGTTACTTTTGCATGCAGGTAACGGCTGAGTCGACTGCTAATTCGGGTACTCCGAAGGTAAAGAACGTTTGCTTTATAATCAGTTATGGTCAATGTGACATTTCACATCTTTCTAGAGCAGAATTTGCAGATATAATTGTCGACACATTTGTAGGAAGGAGCACTAAGTAGGTGGGAATGTAAAAAAAAAATGTGCACAAGATCGAGGTGGCGAGCTATCGGAAAGCTCGAGAAGAGTAAATGTGGCATTTAATTGAACTTTTCCGCAGACAATCTCAAAAATTACTATTCAGCGTATTCGTACGTGGTAAAGGAAGACCAGGACTAGGTGATTTCTCCAGGGCTTATAGACCTCCCCAATGCTGATGTGTTAGCAAGTACTAGCGCGAACTGCTGAAGCAAGAAAGTTGCTCAGGCTTCCAAAAATATGTAACGAAAGGGACTTGCAGTATACAGCATTATACAACACTGACATTAGTGTTATTCGCTAATTATGCTAATAAGCGTTTTCGGACGAGACAAATGCAATGAAACTAGCATCAGTTGACACTTCGATTGTCACTATATAAATATGAAATAACAGGCAACTAGACATCTTTAAAAACAGAACAAGGCTAAGAATAATCTGTTGAGAATGTCTAACAATGTATTTGCTATTAATGAAAGGGTTTGTAATTGATTAAACTATGTTTTGGATCAATTGACACTTTTTTACATAAATAAATCTGATATATCATAGTGATATTTCTAGAGTTAAGTGTCAATCAATACATTTTATACAATTTATATACTTCGTGATTAAGTAGAACCCGTAATATATCAATAAGCGCTCTCTAAGCACGCTTGCTTAGTACTTAATGTTCTAAAAATGATTATGCCACGACAATTGAAAGTTATATCAATGAAAATGCTATGTGTTTCAAAGTAACAAACGAGTGTCAATCGAGCATGTGTTCAAGCCGTTTTATATTACATACATGTTTTCATGTCAAATATGCACAATCTTTAAGCGGTGTTCGATAACTTACCCTTGCATTTTATTTAGCATTAACCTAGGTCGATAATTAACCAGATGAATGTGTTTTTTCCCTTGTATATACAGTAGACCAGGTTTAATCGCTCGGCATACTAACCTCCCCACACTCACATCTTTCAGTATAAGCTCATTTATAATATACTGCTAGATTGTGTTACATTTCAAAGATATTGACCACAACCGAAGCACAGTAAGGACGTTACATATGCCAATGCAATTCAGTAAACATGTTATACTAAATGCTATATGATTTTCGCAAAACAGATATTCTAAAACACCCGGTAATTCAAAGAGGTTAAAGATGCCTTTCATTGCCTTTCAGACAATCAGTTTCAAAAGTCCTGGGACAGATGCCACAAAACCTTTGAATTTCAACAAATGTCAATCCCCCCTCCCCCTGTTCAATGTTGTGTCCCATTTCTCGTCAGGTTTGATGTGTTTTGGTTGGAGCAACATTGATTGGGGTGGGGGAGGGGAGCCGTATTGTGTGTAAAAAACTGTAATGATCCGCTTACAATCTAAAACTACATGTGTCCCAACAACTTCCGAAAGTGATTGTAGTATGGCCATATGACAGTATTGCCATTGGCTGGTTAATTTTGCAGCTTGTAGGTTCGCAATTCCCTACATCCAGACAATGAATGAGATCAGTGACTGATCTCCACTTGTGGTTTTCATCACAAACAATAACTTTATCCAATTAAGTCCTCACATGAAGTGTAAATTTCAAAGCGAATATGAAAGTTAGACGTTTATACTTGCATTCTTTCGAAATCGCGATCTTTCGGCTATTTTATATACTTTATTTTATAAAATTTGGAGTTATTGCTGGCGAGCTGTGTCAATTTAAGTAAGTGCAATTGGAAAATTAAAAAACGTAGATGTGTTGAATTCACAATTTATTTAAACGTTCCAAAAAATAAGTTGGAAGTACACGTTTATTCAACGTGGTCTCCATTTCACACAAGTTCGTTCTTTGTCTCATATCCAAGACAACTCTTCTTCTTCCTGAGTTTTCTTTATTTTGATTTAAACTTTATGGGGTGGTTCTTCCATTCATTGCATGCAGCTGGTATTTGTTGACGATATGCCAAATGCTCGATGAAGATTACGTCCTGGAAAAGCTATTTGAAATTGTCTTAACACTGCAACAACGCTTTTTGTTTTCAAAATACTTTTCAACAATGAATGTTCTTTCCGGAATTGTTAGCTTTGGCATTATGAATGGTGATGGTAAAGTTTTAAACAAAAACGTTCTAAATTTTAGCAAACTACCTTTAATTAAGTCCCCAAGGGATTTCAAAGATTAATATTTCAAAGCATCTAAAAACGAGCGCTTGTACTAATTTCTTTTTATTGCGATTAGCTTTAGTTCAAAATTTTCAAGAAACCCTTCATTCGAAAGATGAGAAAACAAGCTTTAAATTGAGCACAAAATGAAACTATGGTAGTTTATTTTACAATAGAAAAAAGATATTTAGGACGACTCCGTTTTTTTTATACACCCTGTAGAATACAGCAAATGTCTTAGTACTATAAACTATACTAGAAAATACATGCATGCAGAAACCCTCACCTTGCTGACAAAACTATTATGTTTTCCAAACATGAAGTATTGTCATGGTAACATGATAATTTTAAGAATAGTTTTGAAATTGAAAAATCCCCCCAAAATGATCAATTTCACAAACATATATATGCTAGGTATGTTATTATACGTAATATAAGCTTCAATCTAATGTAAAAATCAACCACAAATGCTTTGCAAAACGTTTCAAAATGTTCTTAAAACTAAACTGCCTTTTATCGGTAAACATCGAGTTTCAAAATCAAAATAAATTGATTTCAAATTCTTGCATGAAAATATAAACTCGCCGTCATGCCACCAGTGGCGTAACGCAACCGCTGGGGGCCCTCCGTCAATCGGCCACTTTGGGCCCCTTTGCTCCACTAAAAATAGGCTCCAAAAATCCCCCCCCGTCGCCAAAACATTTTCGGACATTGTACCATTTTAGGGGTCCAAAATTTTTTCCGAATATACCCAATGAAATTGCAATTAATTCATTCTAGTATCTCGTCCTTTACCTCAGCCGCGACGTACTTAATCCGTCGCAGCTTCGGGAAATTTCTCGACGGATTTTGCCTTTTCCAGAGAATTTTTTTTTTATTCAATTCAATTAATTCAATTCCCCAGAAATGTGCTATCAAATTTTTTAAGGTCATTTTTGTCGGGGGCCCCCCGTCTCTGGACACCCTGACACCCTCCCGTTACGCCACTGCATGCCACAGAGATCATGCTGAAAACCGCAAGTGGAGATCAGTCACTGTTCTCATTCATTGTCTGGATGTAGGAAATTGCGAACCTGCAAAATTAACCAGCCATATTCTCATGACTGCTATACTTACCAGTAATGCAAAGTCAGGCACAATATATGAATGTAAAAATGTATTGGTTAGGTAATGTATTACAACAAACACTCAAAATAATTGTGGCTGTTCATTGACATTATGATACCTCACCAATCGATTTTATATATTATAATATCATAGTTGCCTCGAAATCCTTTGTCTCGCGAGGTACGATTAATCACTAATTTACCTCATTACTAAAACATGGAGTAAAATTAGAACTAATTTTACCATGGGCAAAATTAGAACTAATTTTGCCCTTGGTAAAATTAGTTCTAATTTTCCCCTGCATGTTTGATGAGGGAAATTTAGAAGACAAAAGCGTACCTCATTACCTCTGATTGGAGAGCTGTACCTCATCGAAAATCATCGGCACAACTATGGACAGTATCTGACGACACCGTCCCGTACACATTCAAACAATCACTTTGCCAGCTTTTATTCCCTAACTTGAACATTTCAATTGTGGGAGAAAATTCCGTTTATGCGCATGCCTAAAACGCCAATGAACACGGAGATGTGTTTCTGCGCCTGCGTATATATGAAAAGTGTTCGTACCACAATCATAAGACAATCAAACAGCATTCAAAACAAGCAACACACCACGCGCGATTCCCTCGTTAACTATGATATTACAAAGTAATAGCATGGCATTACGGTCGATTAGTGATGAAATGTCCCTCAAGCCTCGAGAGGTTTAGTAAAAGTCCCTCGGCGGTACGCGCCTCGGGACTTTTACTAATCCTCTCTCGGCTTTCGGGTACATTTAATCACTAATCGCCCTGAATGCCATGCTATTACTTATAATAATTTTACAGATAATAGGGGCTAGACTTGCTATAAGTCGAATTGCATTAAGGGACTGCTCATTATTTATTGTACAGGGGGAGACTGAGGAGAAACTCTACAGTTATAATATTTTTTCATTGCCCCCTCTTAAGTGTCGAAGAGATATGAACATTCCAGTATATATAGCTCAGGACTTTAGCGCATGCGCATGAGGAATATTTACATGTGCTCGATTGACTAAACTATAGTGTATTTGGTTTATATTCTCAAGTTTGTGCTATTTCTATGCACCTATTACTCTATTAAATGAAGTTAAAGTAACTCTATTTCCGTCATATATATTCTACTTTATATTATTTGGTGCCTTGACCTATATTATGGCGGAAAATCTACAAGAACTTCAAGCATCGCGAGCGGGCTATCAGGCCCATTTGACACAAACAATCAAGAAAGCTACAAATATTGCAACAAAGGAAGATCCCCTAACGGACAGTGATATTACATCCTTAAAGAGAATCGTTGATCAATTAGCTCGGAAAAGGTCGATTCTGGAGGAACTAGATGAGAAAATTGTAGGGATGATCGAAGACCCAAAGGAACTGGAGAAAGAAATATTCCAAACCGAGGATATCAAAGAAGAAATTGACGAGACAGCAGCTCAGATAAGTAACACTATTGAACATTTTCTATCTACTAAATTGTCTCCAAGTAGCTCCCCCTCTAGGAACTAGCAAGTTTACAACTATTCTATGACACTATGGAAAACCACATTAGGGGGTTAGAATCGCTCGGCAAATCCCACAGTAACTATGGAGACCTCCTAGTCCCAATTGTTCTTGGAAAATTACCACATCAACTCACAACAAACTTAGCCTGTGACCATGACAGTCCCGAATGGAAATTTGCACAACTGAGAGAGTCCATTCATAAGGAAATAAGAATTCTAGAAGCCGGTGTTCAATCCAATCTAATGCAAGCTACACTGCCATCACCTAAACACACAACAGCAGGTTCGTTTTTCACACAAACACAAGGGAACCAACATCATACCACAAGATACAAACCGGGACTCACTACTAAACGATGTGTATATTGCAAGGGTCCTCACCCCACCCACAATTGTAATGTTGTAAAAGATTGCCAAGAGAGGTGGACAATAGCGAAAAACTGTGTTTCAATTGCTTGGGAAATCATAAATCATCAAACTGCCAATCCAAGTTCCGTTGTCTGAAATGTAAGCGGAAACACCATACCACCCTATGCCCTCATTCAATGACGCCTCCTAACCCCCCTCCAATAACACCTCCGCCCCCTTCTTTCCACCAAAATCCCAACAATCAACAAACCCTTCCCGCTACTCCAAATACACCACAGCCAACACCTACCCATGCAACTCTGGTCCCATCCACCCATTCTCCAACAGTAAGACATGTTTTGCAACAGCCATTGCAACTGTGAGCACTGGGCAACTTCATTGTGATGCCAATATTCTTCTTGATGAAGGAGCTCAATGGTCTTTTATTACTACTGACCTAGCAAACCAGCTTGGAGTTATGTCCTCCCAAACAGAGGAAATTGCACTATCAGCCTATGGAGCCCAAACCTCAGCTAGACGTCACCTACCACTTGCTACTGTTTATATCATCACCCGTACTGGACAACAAATTCCATTACAAGTTCTTGTAGTTGAGGAGATAGCAACGCCCCTCCAAATTCCACCTCGTCAACATATAAATGATATGCCCCACCTGAAGAATTTAACCCTAGCCCATCCTATTACAGCTCAAGAGGACTTTCGAATATCACTGCTTATCGGAGCCAACCATTACTGGGATATAGTAGAAGATGAAGTAACTCGTGGTCAGGGACCCACTGCTGTTGCATCAAAACTTGGTTATCTTCTCTCTGGGCCATTACCAACACCTTCCAGACCCTCCAACACCTTTGTGAACCTGTTGCAGTCAGATCCACCAAAAGAACAGAACTTGATCTAAAAAGATTCTGGTCTCTCGAATCAATAGGCATCACTCCGCCATCCCGCACCGAAAACCAACAAGATTTCCTGGAAAATTACATCAACACTTCCATTACCAGAAACCCAAATGGCAGTTACGCAGCAAAATTCCCATGGAAAGATGATGCACCAGACGACCTCCCGGAGGATGTCGAAGATATATGAACATTCCAGTATATATAGCTCAGGACTTTAGCGCATGCACATGAGGAATATTTACATGTGCTCGATCGACTAAACTATAGTGTATTTGGTTTATATTCTCAAGTTTGTACTATTTCTATGCACCTATTACTGTATTAAACGAAGTCAAAGTAACTCTATTTCCGTCATATATATTCTACTCTACATTAAGACAAGTAAACTTTTCAAAGCCCCCCCCCCAACAGGCAAAACAAGAACATAAATTCCCCCCCCCCCCTCTAGCTCTTTATCTTTATTTAGAGAAACAAAAACTCTAGCTGTTTATTTTAGAGAAAGAAAAATAGGTAATGGGGACCAATAGACATTCCCATTATAGACTAATTTTTTATCTTAGCAAAAAAAGTATATTCCCAGGAAGAGCATACTAAAATTAGTAAAATTCCAAAGTTTGGTTGCAAAATGTTGTAAAATATGTAGAAAATATAGCCTTCCAAAGTTTGCAAATTTTGTATTCTTTTATATAATTGCAATTTTCGCATGCAATACAAAAGTGTACAAAATTTGCAAACTTTGCAAAGCTATATTTTCCGTATTTTGCAACAATTCGCAACCAAATTTTGCAATAATTTACTTATTTTAGTATGCTCTTTCTAGCTGTGGTGATTTATTTGCATCAAGGCCAGATTTTGAGGG